ACACACTTCCGGAATTCGGCTGGCCTTTCATGAGATAGAGAATTTATTGTAGCTAATGTCCGAGAACGCGTGCTATATTTTTAACCTTTTGAAAAATATCAGGCCACATTACGTCCACCGCCGAGTTAGTAGATCAGATTTCCCGCCCATCGTCTCGGTCATTTCTATATTCCAGTCTTCCGAATTTACAAAACTGATATGACATTGTCAGAAAGAATTATCCTAATTTGTAATAATTGTGTAGGAGCGAGTGTGGTTATTATTAAAAGCTGCTTACCCCGATTGATTCCGAGCTCCTATCGAGATATACACTGATAATAAATTCATCAAATAGAAACGCGAAACCAGGCAATTTACTGTTGACTGTTATTTTAAACGAAGGTGCTGTCATGAGTGGCTTTTAGTCATATCACCAGCCTTGATCTCCTCTATTGAATACTTACGCACTAGAATGAGCATTAAAAAGGATCTTATCTACCGCTTATTTCAGTTTACGCCAGACTCACTTGTTCATATTAATACCGTCGCTGAGGAAGCATTTGTGAGAAAACCCACATTAAAAGCCTTTACCTTGGAACTTGACTACATCTCTGTGCGCTGTGGAGTTGCTTTATTCGGGACAAGCATCGTCACCTCCTGTAGACGGCGTGTTTGTAGATCCACCTGACTTCAAGCTGACTTCAAGCTTCTGTCTTCGGTCACTTTCGTATTAAGCTCAAATAACTTAACCTCTGCCTTATCCTTTCCGCCTGGATTGCTTTCTTTACTTATTTTTTTTGTTTGCATTTTTGCAGGCGCGATTTCATGCTGGAGGATCTCAGCTCGCCCAATCTCTTCATGACTCCCCTTCAACGCGTAAGTTGTGCTGCTATGCTCTCTTTTCACTGCTATTGGTGTTTCCAGCCTTCCCCATATCTCATCCCTCTTCCTGTTTTTGCCCTTTCAAATGGCCGCCAAAACTTTGAATCGGGTCCTGACACATCATACATCCTAGCTCTCGATTTTCTTCTGACGATGCAGTTATCGCCCTCATGCAGCGCCCATCTTATGCTATTCTGGAATTATGAAAGTTATGGAGAGAGAGAGAGAGAGACTGGGGAGCGAAGAAGTAAGGTAGGTTTGGACAAAGAGGGGTAGCGTATGTGTGTAAACGAGAGAGTCATAAGCAGGCAAGCAACCGGAGAGAAGGACGATAGAATGGGAGGGAAGATGAGAGGGCAAGGGAGAGTTGTGAGAGTAAGATTAAACGGGGTAGGGGAGAACGAGTGACAAGATGTGGAATAAGAACATAAATATTCCCGAAACCTTGCTCGAATTTCCAGGTAGGTTAGGACACGCTAATACGCACCCTTTCTGGAGTTTCGTGCAGTGCCTCCCGTATTACCGAGGAGGAAGAAGGGGGATGGGGCGTCTACCCTCGTCTGATGCCAATGGCGCAAGAGGGATATAAAGAAGATGTCTTTTATTTTGCGGTAATCCACATGTTTCAATCGCATTGTCTCACATACGTTTGATGGTTGAATGGAGATGCTAGCGAGGTTTCCCACTGTGTCCAATAACTGCCTACTCAGTTAAGGAGTAACTTCCCCAGTTCGTGCTCCTCTCCTCGTCCTGTCTCTCTACTTCGCACTGGCGCGATATATGGATCTGTAGCATCCATTCCTTTTCAGCCGACACCCTCTAGCGTGCTACGCACAAAGCATTCCCTGTAAATATGCTGGAATACGGCGAGATTACGTAGGTGAGCTTTTAAGACTGGTTACTCGGACGCATAATCCAAAGTGGGCTCCTGCCTCTATAGCATGTTGGCTATCCAGTGAGAATCTCTTTAGCTACCATGAATTCGCTTTTGCAAACTTCGATCAGCAAACGTTTACAAGCAAAGTTTTCAAAGACAGGCTCGTCCGACCACTTTATTTTTGCAGTAAGTTAACATCGGTGTATGAATTGGAAAGAAAAGCTAGGTAATACCTTAATCACAGACCGTGTAGTTTAGGACATGGTATATCGTATGTCCATGTGCCGCCTTGTCTGCGGGCTGCCGGGGGGCGACTGGAGGGTCATTGGAACTGGTGCCCCGACGGGATTCATTCCGTGTTTCACGAGGTGTGACGCCTATTATTTTTTCTAAAATATGTCTGTCTTCAGCTGTGGCCGCATTACGACATGCAGATCATGCCTACTTTGCATATTTTGACTAAGACGGCATTTTGGAGGAGTTAGATCGTCATGCCTCAACTCCGCGTAAGCTTACCCCACCCTGCAATTAGGTGACCGCCATTCTTCCCATAGACACCCACCGATCTCGACTGGAGGGGAGTGCGCACACGGAGTAACGGACTCTGGCTGGAATCTCAGTAAGCGCCAGACAATGCTTGCTGGCAGACAGACAGAGTGCTCTCTTCTGGCTAAATTAGCTTCTAAAAGACTTTTTATTGTGTCCATAAGCGTCACAATCGACTGACTAGCAAATTCTGCTACAGAGTTAAAAGTGTCACATCGATTTCTTGGGGCGTCTTGGCGTATGAAATTTGCAGGACTCAGTTGTG